TACTTATCCGAAAAAGTATTTGTTCAGAACTTCTATTCTAAGTCATCTATTAATAACCAAAATCTCAATAATGAATTAAAGTGAATTCTACTTATACAACTTAAATTAAATTATATATTGCAGTTTTTAGAGAACTCATTTGGAATTTAGAGTTAGACACTCTCTAAAACTTTCGGCAGAATTACCCTAGGTGTCTCAAACTTACTACATTTTCATTATGTTAATAAAGTGTGTGTTAAAATACTAAATAAAAAAAGTATAGAAAATCATATTCTTTAATATGTACTTTTTGTAATTAATGTTTTATCAAGTAGTTAATGTCATAATTTTCTATAATAAAGATATTTTTTGTGGCCTAACAGTTGGCTGTTCATATCAAGTAGACTTATTAAATAATAAACATTTGGAGTTATTCATATATTGTATATTAATTAAGAAAAATCTTCTCTCTATTTAAAAGTTTTTTCTTTTTTTCCCCTTTAAGATTAAATCTGAACTAACTTCTCATTGGGACATCAAAAAAGTAAAGGAATTAGCTATTATTGTAATAAATATCCTTTATCTAATTAGTTACATAGGTAACATTTGCTAATAAAAGGAGAGAAATTATTCCATGTTGTCGTAACTTTTTTAAGTCCAGAAATCAAATACTCAATTTTTGATATCAAAGAATAGTTTATTTCTTTCTTTATCAAGATCAAAGGATTAATTTCACTTAATTTAGTATTATTCACTAAAAGATTTAAAATCTATAAAGTAATTTAATGGTTTTAGAGAATATTAAATTAATAAATAGGGATTTTTCAGTCGGTAAAAGAATTTTTTATTAAAATTAAATTCAAACTATTGATTCTTTTTATTTTATATATATCAAGTTTAATTTAGTTTTCGAAAAAAAGATGATTCACAAAAATTTTTTAATATTTTAATCACTCCAGAATTTACAACTTTTCTAAATCTAAAAATTATTATTATATTTAAGTAATAATTAAATATGCAACTTGATCATTAACGGTTAGTGAAGAAAGCATATTTGAGTTAAGTAAGGCAGAACATCTTAATTAATAAAGTCTAAGGGATCTTTAGAACCATTATTCATTTAGTTACTGGATGGTTTTATGGTTCTTAGCTCTGTACATCTATTGAGATGGTAGAATTATATTGTTCTTGTTAATTTGAAAGGCTATTAACTTGCCTAAATGAATGGAGATTATTAAGCAAGACTTTATATAATTAGGAGTAGGATAAGAATTACTGTAAATCTTAAGAGCTAATGAGCTGGGAAGAGACCATATGCGGTACTAAATTAAGACCTAAAGGTATGTGTGTCTTATAGAATACCAATTATGAATTAATAGATTATTAATTAGTGAACTTCTAGGTAAATTAAATATATGAGGAATCTTTATTTTTAGATACTTTTCTCAATTATCAAAATGAAGAATATTTATCATTTAATTTGATAATAAAAATATAAACTTAATTTGGTGATAAATTTTAATATTGTAATTAAGACATCAAGATAAAAATGGAATGATCAAATAGTAAAATTTCCTATTTTATATTTAACAGACGTATTATGATTTGAGGGAAAAAATAACATAAACTAATTAATTGAGGGAATCTGCTCATCTTATTTATAAGTATTAATGTTGATGAAAAAACATATAAAATTAAGGAGGTTTATATATTATAAATTATTGGTGGATAAATTACAAGTGGAGAGTATAAAAGCTTATATCTAACAATTACATCGAACATATGTTTAAAGATTAAATAATTTAATTTTAATTTCTATTTGACTATCATATATAAAAGTCATTAAGAAATGTTTAATAAATAAAATAAACAAAGTTTAATAATTAGATGAAAATCCTAGTGAAGTATAAATTACTACATGTTTATAAAAACATCTAATTATACTTTAGCAAAATATATTATTCAATAATCACTTTGACTCACTTATATTTTAGATATAGTTATTTCTTACATTCAGCTATTAATATAAATTATAATATACCTTATTTATTTTTAGCCCATTAATAATCTGGGTTGATTTAAAGAGCCTTAATGTAACAAATAATAGCTTGTTAATATTTTGATAATGATTGTAAACAGGCTCCTATATAATTTAAAATATAGTAAACCTTTTCTGGCTAAAGATATATCATGATTTGAATTAATATTTAATGCTTTGTCTAAAATCATGAGAGCTTCGTTATATTTACCCAAAATTCTTAATGAGTCACCTATATTAAAAAATTTAATTACCTTTTGAAGATAATGAATTGAGATGGTTTGAATTAATAGACAAAGCTTTTTCTGCCCATATAATTGCTTCTCTGTAATCTTGAAGCATTTTTAAAGAATCAGCTAATACATTTGTGTATGGTTTTTATACCTTTTATAAACAATGAATCAACATGGTTAGGATCAATGAGTAGTGCAGCATCTATTACTTCAATTGCTTCTTCATATTTATTATCATCGTAATATAATTTGTATCCTAAATTAATCATTTGATTACCTTTTTAATATAATTATTAGAATTTTTCTAATTTTTCTTGTTCTTATTTATTTTATTAATGACTATTTGCTTCCTCTAATTTCAAATCTTTAATATTTCCTTTTAATTAAATGATCATATCATCTGAAGATTTTTGTATATCTTCAAATAAACCTTTCGTAATTTCATCATATTTTAGCACTTAATCTAAAACTTAATTCAATTGCTTTGCATTCAATTTTTACAACCTCTTCTTAGAGAATTTATATTTTTATTCCAATCCTTAATTTAATTAAGTAAATAGTTCAATTATTTCTCCAAGCATCAAACTTAATTTCTATATTAAATCTTCATTCTCTTATTCAACTTTATTAAAAAACTCAATTAATTCCTTTATATTCTTTTAATCCTTAATATGAGCAATATGATCTCCATTCCTAAGACATTAATGACAATAAACTCTATTAGCTTTACATTATTAATTGAAACAAGCTAATTCAACATCATCATGTTCTTCAATAGAACATTTTATCTAAAGTTCTTTTATCTAATTCATATATTTTATATATATATTTATTTGTATTTCTATTAATTGCTTAATTAAATGTATAAATGGAAGATCAAATTACAATTATTTTAATCTTCAATTAGAAAAGCTTATTATGTTTTTCTATTCATACTTTAGGAAGAAGGAGCTATAAAAATAACTTTATTATTATCAATAAATTTTCTATTTTAGAATTGAAGTTTGCCTTCATTTAATATAGGAATATATAACATAAAACTATATGAATTCCTTAAAATAACCAATAAATTATCTTAGAAGTAATATATTTCATAATTTAAATTCTATAATTTTACAAGAATTATTAAAATAAATCATTTATTTTTTTAAAAGGCTAATAAAGTCAACTTTGCATCTAAGACGAAGTATTAATATAAATTCTAGTTTAAATTTAATACTTTATATGATAAAAATTATTGTTTAAAAAAAAGATTGTAGTAATATGAATTAATTAAATCTTCAAATATTCAACTTAAAAATCTAAACCTTTATTGATTTTGAAACCTTAAAATCTGACTTTTTTTTTTAAGAATTTAGTAATTAAAAAAAACTAATTTAAAACCAACAATAAATCTAACTTTTTGTTTGACATCTTTTTTGATTTGTAAATTAATAAACTAGAAATATTGATAAGAAAAAAATAGTATGCAATAGAAGTAGAAGAAATTAAAAAAGATTCTGTAATGTAAAGTAAGATAAAAGCGACAAGAGATTATAGGTAGAAATGATGAAGATATCACCACTTTTGATAAGTGTGCAACTTGGGTGACTCAATAATTTCTGAACCTAACGATTGAATTTGGTTTCAAGATTAATATTGAGAATCAAATTTTTTTAGTTGTGTAAAAAGGGATTGAAAGAGTGAAAAGATCTGGGTTATGAACAAATATAAAATAAAAAATATCTTGGTGTATTTTTAGGGTGATTTTTTTGGTAAACAATTGAAAAATTTGAATAAAATTTGCCTTTGAGACATATGACTCAATTATGGATGACAAATATTAAACCCATCTTTGATTATGTTTCATAATATTGTATAATTATATGAGTAAGTTCTTTTAGGATTGATATGAATCGGATAAGCAGTATGTTAAATAATGATATTAGTTCTCAAAATTGATTAATATAATATTAAAATTGAATAATTTAAATATAATATTAATTAATTAAATGATTTATAATTCGATTTAAGATTGATGACTTTTAATAACATAATTCTGATTAATTTAATGTAATTTAAATGTATTTAATTAAGTATAATTCGCAATAATAAAATAAAATTTATTTTAATGAAATAATAGAATTTGTTCATGTGCTAATAAATAGCACATGAAGGTGAATTTATATAAGGTTTTTGTTTAAATTTGGGATGCCAAGATTTAAGATCTTAGTTTTGTCTTTAATGCGGAATTGATCCTGAGAAACATACTAATTGCAAGAAAGATCTCAAAGGATTTGGTTAAATTTAGGGTTTTATAACTAAATTCAATTAGTATATACTTGATTTAACTAACTAATTAAATAAATCCTATTCATCAGTCAAAATTAAATATGAAGAATTCACAAAATAATTGGATAATATGAAAATATAATTAGTTAAGATTTCTGAAGGTTTAAGTTAATAAGATTATAAATAAATCTAAGAAAATTTGTAAATGATTAAGGAGTGGTATCAATATTCAAACAATCAAAATGAGATCATGAAATAAAATTGAATTGGTATTTTAATTTGTATTATTTATAGGAACTTAATTACTTAGCATAAAATAAATGATTCAAACTTTGGATTTAGACAAAAAATAATAATAAATTAAAGGTATTTAACAAAATAATGAATAAACACTTGAATAAGCTATTCCATTTTTTTAAATTAAATTAGGAATAGAACTAAAATCAAAAAAAAAAATGTAATAATATTAAATTAGAAGAAATGGTAGGAGGCTAATGAAAAAATAAATTAATATTTAAAATTTTTAGAAAAACAATCATCATTCGCAACTTTTTTTTAAGGTAATTCTAATTTATTTATGTAATTTAGGTATTTCTTTAATTGAAATTAATCAACCTGGAAAAGGAATTATATTAAGAGTATAAGCAAAGAAGATTAATTGTAACTTATATAGAGATCTATTGGATTATTTAGAGTAAGAACTTGGAAAAAATGCAAAAAATTAATTTATTTTAATTACAAAAAGTTAATATAATCAATAATTTGAACAGGTTATGCATTAAATGATGAAAATAAATATCAATTAGCAATTGAGTAATGTGAAAAGGTTTTGATAGAAGAACCTTAACATCTACATGCATTGTATAGAAAAAGTAATTTTTTTTAAAATAGGCTTTTGGTTATCATATTTGAATGAACATTAACAAGCGATTTAATGTATTGATAAAGCCTTAAATTATAATTCAAATTATTGTGTTGGTTATTTCAATAAGGGTAATTTATTAGTTTATGATTGTAAGGGTATTCACTAGGTTTTCTTGGAAAATATAACAAGGAAATAGTGTGCTATGATAAGGCAATCAAATTGGATCCTAATTTTGCATAGGCCTATAATAATAAGGGTTAATAATAAGTTTATTATTAGGTTATTAGAGATCATAAATTTGAAGATAAATGATCTTAAAAAATATAATGAGGCAATAGTTTGCTATGATAAGGCAATCCAACTGAATCCTAATTATGCATAGGCCTATAAAAATAAGGGTTAATAATTAGTTTATTTTAGGTGCTTTATTAGATCAATTGAAGAAGTATTAATAAGCTATAGAAAATTATAAGCAAGCACTTTTGTATTGCAAATAAGACCAAAAGAAGTTTAAACAATTAATTATAGAAGTAAGAAATAAGAAATGAATAATTATTAAATATCCTTAATAAAATATTTATCAGTATTATTTAGTTTCCATCTATTTTGACTTTAATTTTGGCACTATTTTTATTTTAATATTAGATTGGGATTCTTTTAAAAAGATAAAT